GGGGGGCACCGGGGCTGACCCCCCCATGCCCCCCCCCAGCTACCCTATCTCATCGATGGTCCCATCAAGCTGACGCAGAGCAATGCCATCCTGCGCTACATCGCCCGCAAGCACAACATGGGTGAGTGATGGGGGGTGTGTGTCACAGCACCAAGGGGGGGTCCCCCCGGGGGGGGCGCTGACATCTCCCCATCCTGCAGGAGGTGAGACGGAGGAGGAGATGCTGCGTGTGGACATGCTGGAGAACGAGCTCATGGATTTGCGTATGAGATTTGTCCAGCTGTGCTACAACCCCGACTTTGTGAGTACCCCGTGGGAGCGTGGGGGGGCATAGGGGGACAGACACCCCCCCCCCAAACCCCGGGAGTCTTGTCCCCCGCCACACCGGGGACATGGGGAATCAAGCCATGGCCAGCATGAGGCGTGTGTTGGGGTGCACCCCTTGCCTGGCTGCAGTCACCCCCTAGGTGCTGGGGGGGGGGCAGCCCCCACCCCAGCTCTGTCCCCCCCTACCCGTGTAGGAGAAGCTGAAGCCGGCGTACCTGGAGCAGCTGCCGGGGAAGCTGCGGGATCTGTCACGGTTCCTGGGCTCCCGGCCGTGGTTTGCAGGGGAGAAGGTAGGTGGGGGCTGCTGGGGAGTTTTGGGGGGGGTCCCCCTGTGGGGGCTGACCCCCTGTCACTCCCCTCTCCCCCCGCTCCCTCTGCCCCAGCTCACCTTTGTGGACTTCTTGGCGTACGACGTGCTGGACCAGCAACGCATGTTTGTCCCCGAGTGCCCGGAGCTGCAGGGCAACCTGGGCCGGTTCCTGCAGCGCTTCGAGGTGAGCAGGGCTGCGTGGGGACACCCCGGTGTCACTGGCCCTGTCCCTGGCACCCTGCTGTCCCTGTCCCCATCCCCAACACCCTGCTGTCCCTGTCCCCATCCCTGACACCCCACTGTCCCCATTCCCGTCCTCATCCTTGAATCCCCAGTGTCCTCATTCCCACCCCCCAGTGTCCCTATCCTTGTCCCCAACACCCTGGTGCCCCCATCCCCATCACCATCCCCGAGACCCTGATGTGCCTGTCCCCCTCCCCGACACCCTGCTGTCCCTGTCCCTATCCCCGACACCCCGGTGTCCCTGTCCCCATCCCTGTCCCCGTCCCATCACCATCACCTCCCCGCAGGCGCTGGAGAAGATCTCCGCCTACATGCGGTCGGGGCGCTTCATGAGGACCCCCATTTTCTGGCGCACGGCTCAATGGTCCAACACCAAGGACTGAGAGGGGTGTGTCCCCCCCACCCCCCCCCACTTCACCCCCAGCCCCCTCCCCTGCAGAATAAATCGGGGGGGCTGCCCCCTTGTCTGGTTGCCATGTGGGGTGCATTGAGCTGCTGTGGGACCGTGGAGGTGCTGGGAAGGGTGGGCGCTGTGGGGACCCTGCATTTTGGGGGGGTGACTCCTGGGGGGGTAACAGGGGCGAGGGCTATTGGACCGTCCTGCACTCCGGGGTGGGGGGAAGCCATTTCCCCATGTCCCCCCCACCGCTAAGGGGGTTGCTCTGTGGAGACTGCAGGGCCCAAGAGGGGCCCATGCCCCCCCCCGGGAGAGTGAGACCCCCATGCAGCTTCGGGTGTTGAAAGGGGGGACCCGCATGCAGGTTAGGGGGGGCACAGAGGGACACACGCCCCCCAGGATAAGGGGGTCCCTATGCAGACTGGGGGACCCCTGCTCCCCAAAGCCAGGGGTACCCCCATGCAGTCTGGGGGGGCTGCAAGGGAGGATTCACGTCCCCCCCCCAAGATAAAGGGGACCACATACAGCTTGGGGGGTGCAAAGGAGGTCATGCCCCCCCATGCAGACTGGGGGGTCAAGGGGGGCCCATGCCCTTCCCAGGACTAGGGGACCCCAATGCAGATTGAGGGGTCCCCCCCAGTATAAGGGGGACTGCTTATGCAGCCTGGGTGATGTAAGGGGGGTAATCATGCCCCCCCTGGGTAAGGGGGACCCCCCCAAGCAGCAGGGGGGTGCAGAGCCCCCAGAGTGAGAGGGCCTTCCATGCACACTGTGGGGCCCAAGGGGGGGCCATGACCCTCAGGATAAGGGCGGGGAGCACGTGTCTAATCTTGGAGGGGTTGCAAAGGGGGGGGACCCGTGCTCCCCAAAGACGGGGGGGTATCCCCATGCAGCTTGGGGGGAGGGAATGCAAAGGAAGAAACCCACGACCCCCCAGGATAAGGGGGTCCCCCATGGAGCCTGGGGGGGTTCGCAGACCACCCCAATGCAAACAGAAGAGTCCCGTAACCCCACCCCAGAATACGGGGGGGGAGGGGGAAGACCCCTCTTCCCC